TTTTTTTTTTTTTTTGAGTGAAGTCTCACTCTGTCGCCCAGACTGGAGTGCAGTGGCCGCTCCTGGCCACCGCAGCCTCGACGTGCTGGACTCCGGTGATCCTTTCGCCTCAGCCTTCCAAGTAGCCGGAATTACAGGCATGCGCTACCACACCCGGCTGATTTTTTGATTTATTGTAGAGATGAGGTCTCGCTGCCCAGGCGGGTCTTGAACCCGTGGGCTCAGGCAATCCACTCACCTCAGGCTCCCAAAGGCACGGGATTACAGGCTGAGCCACCGAGCCCAGCACAACCAATTTTTTTGATTTATTGTAAGCACAAGGTCTCACCAAGTTGCCCAGGCTGGTCTTGATCCCCTAGGGGCTCAGGTAATCATCTCGCCTCTGTCTCCCAAAGTGCTGGCATTATAGGCGTGAGCCACTGCACCTGGCGACAATACACCTTCTTTGGTAGAACTTTCAGAGCCCACTTCCTGCTCTTGCAGGATTGGGGGTACAAATATTACTCCAGTCCTCCAATCATTAATCATTGGCTTTTGAAGGCCAAGCTTACTGTTTGTTTAGAAACACAGTTCCTTCAAAAACTTATAAGCTTCTAGGCTATTTGCTTCCAATCAGCTTCAGATTGGATTAGCCATACCCAAAAGTTTCTTCCAGATGTAGAAACAACTTATTTACTGGCATCTGTGCTCAGCCCTTCTCTTTCTCCTTGCTGTAATGTTGACTGCTTTGGGGGCAGCTGAAACTAAAACAGTACCCTTAATCTTTGACACTCAATTGCTTCAGGGTGAGAATCTAATTTTCTGTTTTGGGGGTACAAAAGCAGCTGGAATTTTCAATATTCTGACCCTTTCAACCATTTTTTTAAGGCTTAGTTTGTCAGTGTTCCAAGTTATTATAGGAAATAGCATACCAAATGTTGGGCTGTGCTGTAACAAGGAAGTCACCGGCTTTTCGGTCTGCAGTATCTATTTCCTTGCTACCCACTACCCTTTTGCTGAACTATCATCACATGTTTTAATTTTTTTTAAAAGCAGTATCCCTGCAGTTAATATTTTCTGTATTGATTAGGATACAGGCTAACCTGCTATAATAAAAATATTTTTAAAATACAGTGTCCCAAACAAAATAGAAGTTTTTCTTTCCCATCATCATCATCTAAAGGTGAGCTTTTCAGGACTTGTGGGACATTTCTATTCTCTGAGGCCATCTTGGAATTTAGGTTCTTTCTATTTTTTGTTTTGCATTCTTAGTATGTTCTCACTTGCACTATTGAAACTGGCTTGCACGGTCATGACCATATTCCAGTGCACAAGAAGCAGAAAAGCCAGGAATAGAGGAGAAGTCATTTCCTTTTCAAAATATGACTTAAGAGTTACACATACCACTTACCAATGCTGATATCCTGTTGGTCAAAAATTAGTCACTAGATATAAGAGAGGTTGGATAATGTGTTCTCTAGCTGGGTAGTGATGTTTCTAGGAAGAATAGGAGCATGCCCAAAGCAGTGGGGGCAGCTCCTATTCTTCCTAGAAATTAGGGGACAATGAAGAGCACATCCCTGTTTTGTTGTTGTTTTGTCTTTTTGCACTTATGTCTGGGGTGAGTTTGCTTGTGATGCAAAGTGAAAAACAGTTTTCTCCCAGCTTTTCATTGAGTTTTTTTAATCCATGTCCAGAGATATTGTATACTAATCTGAAAGGGTGAAATTTGCTCTAATGTGACCAAAAGCCTTTGTTGGCACTTATAAATACTGAATAGTTGAGTCAGGGAAAAGCTGTAGGTGTCCAACAAGGTAAGATACTTATGTTTGTTTACTTTTCTTCTCTGAGTGTGCGGTGAAGCTTGCCAAAATGGTTGGGTATGTGAGTGCTGGTACTGTGGAATACTTGTACAGCCAGGATGGCAGCTTCTACTTCCTAGAATTGAATCCTCGGCTACAGGTGGAGCACCCTTGTACAGAGATGGTGGCTGATGTCAATCTCCCTGCAGCACAACTCCAGGTGAGTCACCCTGATCTAGGCTCAAAGAGGAACCTAGAGAAGTCAGAGATACCTGAAAAACCAGTTTAACCAGTGTCTGATAAGAAAATTCTGCTCAGCAGAATAGTAATTATTCTCTCCTAGCTGAGTCTCATCTAATGTTCATCTCTCTTGTGCCATGTGGGTTATGCATGTGTGGATTGGTCTTCCTGATGTAGTTCAGACACGGGAATGTTATTATTTTTTCTAGTCAGGTGCATCTATAAACTGTCATATTTTTCAAATAAACTTTAATAATAATATACTTTTTCAGTTATTTAATTATAGTAAACTTCACAACTTTGTAATTATCCCCTAGTTCTACTTCTTTTTACTGGCGTTCTTTATTGACAATTATGTGTAAAGTGCTTGTTATTGATATTATTATCTTCTGTCAACTCAGGATGCAAATATTATGGGAGGCAGTAATAGCTAATGATAAGGTTTGATATTATTTTTATCTAACATATTCTTTGCCCACATTGGGAACGCCTTTTGGGCTCCCATTGCAGGTATGGAAGAGATAATTATGATGTAATTAAGACTTTCTAGCTATCTGTTTTTGGATAGCTACTAACACTCTTCCCTTGGATATTTTCATTCTCTTTCCTTGATGGAATAATGGCAACAGAGGAAAACTCATGTCTGTTGCATTAGGAATTTGGGAACTTTTTTAGGAGTACAGAATATTCTAGTAACTATTCTCTACTAGTATACTGTTTAGCAACTTAGAGTTGTTGATTATAGAATGCAGTCTATAAAAATAGAATGTTTTCGATAGTGACTCCAAAAATGAAAATTCTTTTAGGTAATAGGATAGCGTCCACACTTTTAAGTAAAGTAACTGTGGAAAATGGATGATGTGTATTTTATTGCCTTTCAGATTGCCATGGGGATCCCTTTGTATAGAATTAAGGATATCCGTATGATGTATGGCGTATCTCCCTGGGGTGATGCTCCCATTGATTTCGAAAATTCTGCTCATGTTCCATGCCCAAGGGGCCATGTTATTGCTGCTCGGATCACTAGTGAAAATCCAGATGAGGTAACCCATCACTTAAAAAGTTTAAACTGTTTTTCCTTGTAAGCTTAAGTATTAAGATAGCATCTGAGGATATGTGTCTGAGATATCTTGGGACTGCTCTGGAAATGGAAACTTACAGAGGTTTCTCATAGCAGATAAATAACTGATCATTGCTTCATTGGTCATTTAATTCCCACTTTAGTCACTATAGTGTCCTTCAGTGGACCTATAGCTCTGCATCTTGACCTTTATGTTTCTGTTTCTTTTCTGTTTCTGTGTGTGGTTAACACAGAGCGTAAACAATATATAAATGTTCTTTTCTTTGGAAATATAATATGGTCTCACGTATTCTTTATTGTCTAACAGGGTTTCAAGCCCAGCTCAGGAACAGTTCAGGAATTAAATTTCCGCAGCAATAAGAATGTTTGGGGTTACTTTAGTGTTGCTGCTGCAGGGGGACTTCATGAATTTGCTGATTCTCAGTTTGGTCACTGCTTTTCCTGGGGAGAAAACAGAGAGGAAGCAATTTCGTGAGTATAATAGCATTTGATTGCATTTTACAAAATAAATTTGTGCTAATCTTCGTGAAGGTATGAGCATGGAAATTGGAATCATTCATCTGCTATAAAAGTACTAATATAAACAACCTTTTGAAGAAATCCTTAACATCTTTAATTGTACTTGCAGTCATCTTGTGTTAATTTATGTAGTGTTTTGGCAGATGTTTTTCTGGTTGTTCTGAGTCTTTTCAAGTATTTTTGCTTTTAGATATTTTTGATAAAATTATAAAATTGATTGCTTTAAAGATATCATATTTTTCCACAGGAGCAGTTAGCTATTAGGGAGAAGTAGATTCTAGGCCAAGAGCTTGGTATCAAATAATAGATACAGTCTGTCATTTGTCATCAAAATAAAGGTATAGGTAAAAATGTCCAACAGTTATTAATGTGTTTTTGACAGGTAAAAATTATGTTTATTGAATATCACCTGATATTTTGAAATATGTATACATTGTGGAATGACTAAATCAACCTATTCAACATATGTATTACCTCACATACCTTTTTTTTTTGTGGTGAGAAGACTTAAAAATCTATTCTCTTACCAACTTCTAAGTACTCAATTATTGTTATTATTATTTTTGTTTATAGTTCACAATATATTGTTATTAACTCTAGTTACCATGATGTATTCTTCGTCAGTTAAAATAATAAAATTATACTGCTCATTTTATGAAAAAGTCATAAAGAAATTGTCTACATTGTTTATATAAGAGACCTCTGTGTGCTATAAAAGTATTCACCAGTTTATGCAAGTATAACTGGTATATCATAAGTGTTAGCTAATATTCTATTAATCATAAACATTAAATATTAACAACACATTTGCTGGCCTAAAAAATAGGACTGTTAGAGGTAATTTTGACAGATTAGGTATTTTAGAATATCCATCCAAAATTGAAAATTGAAGGAGGTCTTCCTGTTTTTTAATTGTTTATTGCCTTTTATACCAAACACTTAATACTGTTCCCTTGACCTTTGGACTGTACACAGAGTAGGTAATCACTAAGTGTTTATTAATACTAGTTAGTTTTTAATAATGTTTTCAGAAATAGGGAAGTCTCAATATCTCTCTATTTTGCCCTTTACAATTTCTTCTCATTTATTCAAAACTATAAGTGGAATTTTTCAAAATTGAAACAGTACTACCAGAAAAAAAATTGGTATAAAGTTGACCTTTTTTTCACTGCCATATCATGCTTCACTAAAATGAAGGTTCACACTAGAGCTTGCAAATTGGTGGGTTTGTGGACAGTTTCAACTTACGATGTGTTTTGATTGGCTCAGAGTATTAATATTTTTTTTTACCCCCCATCCCAGTATTAATATTTTTAAAATTTTGCCAGTGTTCAAAATTTGGAAGATTGAAATCAAAATATGGATTTCTGCTATCTCTTAAAAAATGAAATGGTAATGAAAACATTGGTTTTATATTCTATTTGTTAAAAGTTAGCTGAAGTTTTATGTGGCTGCTTTTTTTCTAAAAACTACAGGACATTAGCCCTGTAGTTCCCACAGCCCCGCTTCAATCTGTTTCACTCATTTTCATTTCTAGACTGGCCTCTGTTGGCATTAAGTCCTGATTAGTCAAACCACTGTTGTATTTTCTTCGGATTGTGTCCCATGACCTGGTCCAGAAGCCTTGCTTCTTATTTTTTTATTTTTTTGAGTTGTTATCTCACTCTGTTGCCCAGACTGGAGTGCAGTGGCATACCTACAGCCACCCCAGCATCGACCTGCTGGGCTCTGGCAAGCCTTCTCTCTCAGCCTTCCAAGTAGCTGGAAATACAGGCACGTGCTACCACGGCTGGCTAATTTTTGATTTATTGTAGCAACGAGGTCTCGCCAAGTTGCCCGGGCTGTTCTCGAAACCACAGGCTTAGGCAATCCACTCACCTTGGCCTCCCAAAGTGCTGGGATACAGGCTGAGCCACTGAGCCCTTTTTTGTTTTTTTGAGTAGGAGTTTCACTCTGTTGCCCAGGCTGCTGTGCAGTGGCACACTCATGGCCACTGCAGCCTTGACCTGTTGGGCTTAGACGATCCTTCCGCCTCAGCCTTCCAAGTAGCTGGAACCACAGGTGCACACTACCACGCCTGGCTAATTTTTTGATTTATTATAGAGACAAGGTCTTGCCAAGTTGTCCAGGCTGGTCTCTAACCCCTGGGCTCAGGCAGTCCTCTTGCCTCCACCTCCCAAATTACTAAGATTAAAAGTGTGAGCAACTACGCCTGGCTGCTCCTTACTTCTGACCTGCTCTATACTACAGTACAAAGCTAACTATATTAACTTTTATCAAAATAAAATATGTGGCCAGGCACAATGGCTCATGCTTATAATCTCAGCACTTTAGAAGCCATGGTGAGAGGATTGCCTGAGACCACAGGTTTGTTGCCTGGAAAACTTGGTGAGACCTCATCTCTACAATAAAAAAAAATATTAGCCAGGTGTGGTGGCACGCATCTGTAGTTCCAGCTACTTGCAAGTCTGAACCTAGCAGATTGAGGCTGTGATGGCCGTGAGTGTGCCACTGCACTCCAGCCTGGGCGACAGAGTGAGACTCCAACTAAAAAAAAAATGTTCTCTACAATAAGTCTACTTCTTGATACTATGGCAGAAATTCATTCTTCAGCTCAGAGCTTTCTTTGTTTCTTTTATCTTCATTATATTAGGTCTGTATTCTTCAGCATGGCATTTGGAATCTTGTTCTCCAGAATGTCCCAACTCATATTTTCAGCATTATTTTCTCATAGATCATAATCTAAATACCATGAGAACAGAGCTGTGTCTTTCTTGTTACTGCTATTTTCCTTGAACATAGTAAGCATTCAGTAAATGTTGATTGGGTGAATAGATTTGCCCCTCGTCCCATAATCTCTTCTTCAGTCATACCATTTCCTGAACACAACCCATATTTTCTTTCCTCTTCTCCTTTGTTTTTGCTATTCCTTCTGTTCATTCATTCATTCCATTCAGCAAATATTTATTGAGTATCTACTATGTACTGGTTCTGGCAATACAATAAGACCAAAGTAGGGTCTCTGTCCTCATGGAACTTTATAATCCAGAAGAAGTAAGACAAATAAGCAATTAAAACATAGTGCAGTAAGCATGATGATAGTGGGATTATTTAAGGACATTCTAGGAATATGTTAGTGAGTTAGCTAATTCAGTCTATGAGGGATCAAGCAATGCTTCTCAGAAGGAAGTGACTTCTAGACTGATACTTTAAGTGTGTATCAGAATAAGTCAAACCAAAGAAGGGTATTTGGAGGAGGATTGAGGTGGGGGACAGAATTATATTGTAGGGCAAGAGAGCACTTGGACCACCTGGCATACTATTCCTCTCACAGTCATAATATCAGCTATACTTTTAGCCAATGTCAGATTACTCATTCTTCATGAAACCATAGAGAAGTGAATTTCTCCCTATTTAGAACCTCTCCAGCACTTTGCCTAAGTTTCCTTTTTTTTTTTTTTTTTTTTTTTTGAGTTGGAGTCTCATTCTGTCACCCAGACAGGAGTGCAGTGGCCGCTCCCGGCCACCACAGCCTTGACCTGCTGGGTTCCGGCGATCCTTCCACCTCAGCCTTCCAAGTAGCTGGAACTATAGGCGCGCGCTACCTCACCCAGCTAAATTTTTTTTTTATTTATTGTAGAGATGAGGTCTTGCCAGGTTACCCAGGCGGGTCTCGAACCCGTGGGCTCAGTCAATTCACTCACCTCGGCCTCTCAAGGCGCGGGATTACAGGTTGAGCCACCGAGGCCAGCCTACTTGTTTCTTTACTGACTCTTATGATATTCTGCTGTATATTTTGAAAGACATTGTTGTATCTATGTTCTCTCTTCCTTATGATCCTATTGTGTGTCTTGAGCATGTGATGTACATAATAATAAGTTTTTGTTGAATTAAATGCCTATCCTGTGCAGAATAGACACTGGGCATAAATATACAGAAAAATCCCACAGTATTAGATCATTTTACACCTAACTGGGAAGTAATGAAAGTAATGAGCAAAAATAATTGCATAAATATCTAAAGTACAGCTCAAAAACACTTTTACATGCTGTGTGAGACCGATGTCTGACTGTACCCAGCCAGTTGCCTCATTGTATGGACTTCCTTAAATTAAGGATTAGCATTTGTCAAATTCATTGAACTGTATGCTTAAAATAGTTATATTTGTTGTATGTAAATTTTACATACAACAAATAAGGTATAAGAATGGGGAGAATTAATGACCTGGTTCTAGTTAGCCAGCAATAAATAAACAGAATGAAAACTTAATAAGTAAAAACTAAGGATGTTTTGCATATACTTTGTTCTGTACTCTGTATGAAGAAATGTATCTGATTTGTTGATGTTTTTATGATAATATCTGTTAGAATTCCTAAGTTCATTGGCTTCTTGCACATTTTCCTATCTGGAACACACATGAATGATGAACACACTTATATGTGCACCCATGTTTGTATTTGGAACTGTCTGTCTCTTTCCTCTCCTTTATAAAGTGCCAAAAGAAAGAAACAATTCTTTAAAATGATTGAAAACCAGTAAAACATTTGTTGTTGAAGCAGACTGGCTTCTGTTCTTCTCCCAGAAATATGGTGGTGGCCTTGAAGGAGCTGTCTATTCGGGGTGACTTCCGAACTACAGTTGAATACCTGATCAAATTGTTAGAGACTGAAAGCTTTCAATTGAACAGAATTGACACTGGCTGGCTGGACAGATTAATAGCAGAAAAAGTACAGGTGTGTATTTTTCCCTTGCATAAATACCTTCTGGGATTGGGTTTTTATAGACTGGTGGTAAGATGAAGTTTATTTAATTCCAATGCAGTGGTTCTTAATCTACCTGAAAAATCTAGGAGTCAGTATAATTCTTGCAGTGGAATAGTTTTTGCGCCTGTTTTACACAGTCATTTATATGTTCTAGTATTACTTCCTTGGTTGTATTTGAAGAGAGGCATGTAGGGATTGAAAATATTTTCTTTTTCTTCATTTGATGTTAAATCTGGTTCCAAGTTGCCAAATTCTATATCTCCCAGGTGCTGATGAAAGAGATGTCACTTAAATCAACAGGAGTTATCGCTTATTCTTCAATTACTGCGCTATGCTAAATTAATCAAGATTTTATATGATATTATTAAATTAAGAGTCTCATGCTCTACTGACTGAGCTAGCCGGGTGCTCCAATATTATTAAATTAATCTAAACTATCTGAAGGTTCAATTTTTGGCTATATGTCATTTTTCTTTTAGATCATCAGTAGCTACATCTTTCTATCTTTTTAAATTTAGTTTTGGCTGGGCTCGGTGGCTCAGCCTGTAATCCCAGCACTTTGGGAGGCCGAGGTGAGTGGATTGCCTGAGCCCGCGGGTTCGAGACCCACCTGGGCAACTTAACGAGACCTCATCTCTACAACAAATCAAAAATTAGCCGGGCGTGGTAGTGCACACCTGTAATTCCAGCTACTTGGAAGGCTGAGGCGGAAGGATAGCCGGAGCCCAGCAGGTCGAGGCTGTGGTGGCCGGGAGCGGTCATTGCACTCCAGTCTGGGTGACAGAGTGAGACTCCAACTCAAAAAAAAAAAAATTTAGTTTTGACAAAAGCCTGTTTTTGAGCTGCTGTTTGGTTCAGTGGAAATCTTAGCAAGAGTGGAAGTTGTTTTTTATCTCTATTTAAATGGTGTATCTATTCACATTCTAAAAGTAAATGTGTTCATTTTTACCTAAAAAAAAATCAGTTGGGTGATAAGAATGGACCTTGCTAGCTGTGTCTTCAAAACAAATTTGAGCCTGATTTCATTTGAGGTGGTACCAAGTGACATGCTTTTGATACACCCTTTCAGGCAGAACGCCCTGATACCATGTTGGGAGTTGTGTGTGGGGCTCTCCACGTGGCAGATGTGAGCCTACGGAATAGCATCTCTAACTTCCTTCACTCCTTGGAAAGGTAGGTTTTATTTCTTTTTTCTTTTCTTTTTTTTTTTTTGAGTTGGAGTCTCACTCTGTCGCCCAGACTGGAGTGCAGTGGCCGCTCCCAGCCACCGCAGCCTCGACCTGCTGGGCTCCGGCGATCCTTCCGCCTCAGCCTTCCAAGTAGCTGGAATTACAGGCGTGCACTACCATGCCCTGCTGATTTTTTTTATTTATTGTAGAGATGCGGTCTCGCTGCCCAGGTGGGTCTCGAACCCGCGGGCTCAGGCAATCCACTCACCTCAGCCTCCCAAAGGCGCAGGAACAGGCTGAGCCACCGATCCCAGCTAGGTTTTATTTCTTGTAGGCCACACAAGGTAACCAATGGTCCTTAGTACAGGACTGAAGCTCAAAGACCCATTTATTCTTCTGCGTATTCCTAGCAGCTTATGAGTGCTATTTATTATTCATGGATCATGGTAACAAGGGAGCGTGAGTATGTAAAAGTTTATGGCAAATTATTTTGGGACTCTGCAGATTCTAGAAATTGGCTTATTCCACAGTTAGAACAGGTTGCTTTTAAATCTCAACTTCTCAACCAACTCATCTTTGACAAAGCCTTCACCAACAACCACTGGGGAGAGGAGAACCTATTCAGTAAACAGTTCTGGGAAAACTGGCTGACCACATGCGGAAGAGTGAAACAGGATCCCTACCTATCACCATATATAAAAATCACCTCTAAGCCAGGTTTGATGGCTCAGCCTGTAATCCCAGCGCTTAGGGAGGCTGAGGTGAGTGGATTGCCTGAGCCTGCGGGTTCGAGACCCGCCTGGGCAACTTGGCAAGACCTCATCTCTACAATAAATCAAAAAATTAGCCATGTGTGGTAGCGCGCACCTGTAGTTCCAGCTACTTGGAAGGCTGAGGTGGAAGGATCGCCGGAGCCCAGCAGGTCGAGGCTGTGGTGGTCGGGAGTGGCCACTGCACTTTAGTCTGGGTGACAGAGTGAGACTCCAATTCAAAAAAAAAAAGAATCAACTCTAAATGGACCAAAGACCTAAACATAAAGCCTCAAACTATAAGAATCTTAGAAAACGTTTTACAGGAGACACCCTAACAGAAATTGGAGTATGCAACCAATTCCTGATTCAAAACCCCAGGTTGTCTATGCCGTAAGAGATAAGATAGACAAGTGGGACCTCATTAAACTGAAAAGCCTCTGCAAAGCAAAAGAAACCATTAAGAGAGCAGGGAGACAGCCCATAGAATGGGAGAAAATATTTGCCAACTGTATATCTGACAAAGGCCTAACATTCAGGATCTACAAGAAACTCAAATGTGACAAAAGGAAAAAAACAAGCAGCCCCATTAAAAAAGTGGGCAAAGAACAGCCTGGGCAAAATGGCAAGACCTTATCTCTTCAGTAAATAAAAAAAATTGGCCAGGCATGGTAGTGTGCGCCAGTAGTTCTGGCAACTTGGAAGGCTGAGGTGGAAGGATCGTCTGAGCCCTGCAGGTCGACGCTGAGGTGGCTGTAAGCATGCCGCTGCACTCCAGCCTGGATGACAGAGTAGGACTCTAACCAAAAAAATAAAAAAAAAGAAGTGGGCAAAAGATATGAATAGACTGTTCTCTAAAGAAGATATACAGGCAGCCAACAGACAACGTGAAAAAGTGCTCACCCTTACTAATTATCAGAGAAATGCAAATCGAAACCACATTGAGATACCATCTAACTCCAGTAAGAATGACCATCATTAATAAAACAAACAATAACAGATGCTGGTGAGGATGCAGGAAAAAGGAATGCTTCTACACTGCTGGTAGGATGCAAACTAGCTCAACCTCTATGGAAAACAGTGTGGCGATTTCTAAAATAACTAGAAATTGACCTTCCATATGACCCAGCAATCCCCCTACTGAGAATATACCCAGAGGAACTCAAATAATTCTACCTGCACATGCATGTTTATTGCAGCTGTATTCACAATATCAAAAACACAGAACCAACTGTGGTGCCCATGAAAAGTGGACTGGATAAAAAAAATGTATGTGATACATATACTTGATGGAATATTATGCAGCCATAAAGAAGGACAAACACATGGACTTTGCAGCAACTTGGATGAATTTAGAGTCTAACATACTCAGTAACCTATTACAGAAACAAAGAACTAAGTACCACATGTTCTCATAAGTTGACCCTGAACATTTACTATACTACTATAAGGGCCAGGATTGGCGGCTTAGCCCATAATCTCAGCACTTTGGGAGACCGAGGCAAGTGTATTGCCTGAGCCCACAGGTTTGAGACCATCCTGGGCAACTTGGTGAGACCTCATCTCTACAATTAAAAAAAAAATTAGCCAGACATGGTAGTGTGCCTGTAGTTCCGGCTACTTGGAAGGCTGAGGTGGAAGGATCGCCAGCGCCCAGCAGGTTGACGCTAGAACGGCCGTGTGTGTGCCATGGTACTCCAGCCTGGGTGACGGAGTGAGACTTCAACTCAAAAAAAATTAAAAAATACTATAAGAAAGGGTTTGACAGTGGGACACTGCCCGGGGGGTGGGGGGAGGACTGATGATGGGGGAGCACATAATATCAAAAAGGGTACCTGATCTCAAACCAGGCAAAGTGAAGACCAAAGGGAGGCCCAAACTTTACCTGTACAATGTCCACTTATATACCTAATCCTGAATTGTTCCCTACATCTTTTTTTTTTTTTTTTGAGTTGGAGTCTCACTCTGTCACCCAGACTGGAGTGCAGTGGCCGGGAGCGGCCACTGCAGCCTCGACCTGCTGGGCTCCGGCGATTCTTCCGCCTCCCTTCCGAGTAGCCGGAATTACAGGCATGCGCTACCATGCCCAGCTAATTTTTTTTTAAATTTTATTGTAGAGATGAGGTCTCGCCTGCCCAGGCAGGTCTCGAACCTGCGGGCTCAGGCAATCCACTCACCTCAGCCTCCCAAAGGCGCGGGATTACAGGCTGAGCCACCGAGCCTGGCTTGTTCCCTACATCTTAAAAAAAAAAGTTCATCAACAAATGTCATAAATACACACCAGAATTCAATGTCATCAGTAAAACAGTTTTCCCAAATAAGAAGGAAAAAACAAAAACAAAACAGGTTGCTTTTTAAAAAACTGGAATCTAGTTGCAGTAAACATTCTGTTCTATACAAGCATCAAATCTCACTAAACCCTGGTGATAAAAATCTGGTATTTCTCCCTAGCATTGAACCCTAAATATTTCATATATTACCTGTACTACCTTTCAGGAATTAATAATTGAACCTGCAAGATGGCCACATGAATCTTTTAAGTAGAGGGATAAGACTGTATAAGGCTAAACTAATTTTTAACACTGAATCTGGAGACTAAGTGCTGCCTTGGAGTCCCCAGAGGAATAGTCCAAGTGGCTAATTAAAGCACTTTAGTCACAGGCACTTTGTTTTCTTTTATGTTGTTACACTTACATCAACTCCCTTTAAAGTGTCTAACAGGAAGAAAAGAAACAGTTTTAAAAATTTAAGATTTCAGTCATGCACTAAAACCTTCAGCAGCTTGCATTTCCCTTCAGTATCAAATCTAAATCCCTCAGTGTGATTTTCAACCCCCATAAGCATTGGCGCCTTTTTACCAACCCAGTCTTATTTATGTCTGTTCCATACATCTCTAACCAAGTTAGATTGTTTTCCTGTCGGTGTACAAATATGTCCAATATAATCTCTGCAAGTCCCCCATCCTCTTTTTTTTAATGTTCTTGTTTTAAATTTATTTTCAGAACTTTTGTTTTGAAATATTTTCAGACTTTAAGAGTTGCATGAATAATATGAGTAATTTCTTTATATTCTTTGACCAATAATTCACCAATAATTAACAACCTGCCACACTTGTTTTGTCATTCCTTCTTCCTCTATTATTATCAAAAGTCTTTCTTGATACTGTTTCTCTCCTTAGTAATACTTCCCCTCCCTTTTTCTTCCACCTAGCCTGCTGCCTTCTTTTTTAGACCCTCAAAGTCCCAGTTATTAGGAGTAGATATGAGCTGAAGTTTTTATAATTTTTATCTTAAAGCTTTATCTTAAAGAATACATAGTGAAAAGTCTCTTACTTCTGTTCTTTGGCCACCCACTTTCCTTCCCTGTAGTCAATTCATGTTACCATATTTTTCTGTAACCTTCCAGAGATACACTAAACTTATCTAAACATATATATATAATACTTGTTTCTTTCCATCTCCTGGTTTTTATTTTTTATTTTTTGGTTTTTTGGGGTTTTTTTTTGAGTTGGAGTCACCCATGCTGGAGTGTAGTGGCACGCTCACAGCCACCACAGCCTCAACCTACTTGACTCAGGCAATCCTTCCATCTCAGTCTTTCAAGTAGCTGGAACTACAGGCATGCGCCACCCTGCCTGACTAATTTTTTTATTTATTGTAGAGATGAGGTCTCACCAGGTTGCCCAGGCTGGTCTTGAACCCATGGGCTCAGTTTTCTCACCTCAGCCTCCCAAAGTGCTGGGATTATAGTCACAGTGCCCGACCTTCCTGATTTTCAAAAACACAAGTGATAATTCTTTGAAACTGTTCTTTACCTTGCTTTTTTTTCCCCCAACAATATACTTTAGAGAGTGCTTTATATTCGTTCATAAAAGGCTTTCATCTTTTTAAAAAAATTATTTATTTTTATTTTCTGAGTCAGAGTCTTACTCTGTTGTCCAGGCTGGAGGGCAGTGGCACAGTCATGGCTCACACAGCCTCTAACTCTTAGACTCAGGCTGTCCTTCCACCTCAGCCTCCTGAGTAGCTGGGACTACAGGTGTGTACCACCAAGACTGACTAATTTTTCTATTTGTTTTTGTAGAGATGATGTCTTACTGTGTTGCCCAGGCTGGTCTTAAACTCCTGGGCTCAGGCAGTCCTTCTGTCTCAGTCTCCCACAGTGTTGGGATTATAGGAATGAGCTACTGCATCTGGGTGGCTTTCATTTTTCTAATAGCTATATGATATTGTATATATGAAAAGATGTTCAATATCACTAGTCATTGGGAAATGCAAATCAAAACCATAAAAATATCATTTTACACCTATTAGGATGTCGGTTGTCAAAAAACAGAAAATAACAAGTGTTGATAAGATTATAGAGAAGTTGGGACACTGGTACCCTATTGTTGGGAATAAAAAGTGGTACAGCCACTATTGAGAAACAGTACTGTGATTCCTCAAAAGTTTTAAACGTAGAATTACCCTATGATCTAGTAATACTGCTTCTGGGTATTCTGAAAGAACTGAAAGCAAGGTGTGAAAGAGCTACTTAGCTAATGTTCATAGCAGCATTATTCACAGTAGCTAAAATGTGGAAACAACCCAAATTTTTATTGGCGGGTGAATAGATTTACATTATATACAATGTGGTATATACATACAATGGAATGTTACTTAGCCTTAAAAAGTAAGGGAGTTCTGACACATGCTAAAACCTGGCTAAATCTTAAAGACATTAGGCCAAGTGAAATAAACCAGTCACAAAAAGACACATATAATTTAATTTATATGAGGTATCAAGAGTGGGCAAACTCACAGAAACAGAAAGTGGTTGCCAGGGACTAGGGGAAGGAGGAAATGAGGAGCTGTTGTTTAGTGGGTATAAAATATAGATGATATAGATGAAAATGTCCTGGAGATTGGTTGTACAATAATGTGAATATACTCAACACTACATGACTGTGCATTTAATAATGATTAAGATGGCAAATTGGATGTTATATGTATTTTACCATAATTTTTTAAAAATTGCATTACAGCTGAGTGTGGTGGCTCACACCTGTAATCCCAGCACTTTAGGAGGTGGAGGCGAGAGGATTGGCTGAATCCAGGAATTTGAGATCTGCTTGGACAACATAGCGAGATCTTGTCCCTACAGTAAAAAAAAAAAAAAAAAAAAAATTAGCTGGGCATGGTGGTGTACGCCTATTGTTCTAGCTACTTGGAAGACTGAGGCGAAAGGATTGCCTGAGCCTAGCAGGTCAGGGCTGCAGTGGTCCTGCCACTGCACTTTGCCTTGGGCACAGAGTGAAGCTATTACTCAAAAAAAAAGTCCATCACAGATAGTCATTTAGGTTGTTTCTAATCTTTTGATATTTTAGGAAATGCTACAGTCAATAATCTTTTCGATTATTTTATTAACTATTAGAACTTCCTGAAAAGTATTTCTTTCATTATTCTTCTTTCAGGGGCCAAGTCCTTCCTGCTCACACACTTCTGAATACAGTAGATGTTGAACTTATCTATGAGGGAGTCAAGTATGTACTTAAGGTATGCTGAACCACATTGAAGCTTGCACCTTACTTTTTGCCTCTCACTGTTATCTCTCATTCTTTAGGTTAAGAGGCAAGGAGAAAAGTTTGATTTAATGCAGGGGTGGGGGTATTAGTGAAATTATAGTCATTACTTGAGTCAATATCCTGAAGTGGTATTTGATGATTCTATGAAAATCTTTTAGTCATTTCTCAACTTCACATATACAGCCAAGCAAAAAAGGAGAGACAGAGCAACCAGAGCAGGGAGGAGCCACTATTTGCTTACAGTAAGAATAAGCCATTCTCACACTGACGCAAATAGCACAGTGCCATGAATTTACTTACTCCTGACAGATCTCTCTTATCTATCTTTTAGAAACATCGAAATTTTGTCTGGGGATCTACTACGTGGAGTAGACACATTGACTTGTCCCTTCTGGTTCTTGTTCCCTACAGGTGACGCGACAGTCACCCAACTCCTATGTGGTGATCATGAATGGCTCTTGTGTGGAAGTAGATGTGCATCGGCTGAGTGATGGAGGATTGCTCTTGTCCTATGATGGCAGCAGTTATACCACATACATGAAGGAAGAAGTGGATAGGTGAGTGGCTATTTGAGGTCCATTTACTGGTCATTATATTAACCCTTTCTTTTATTCACCACTAGCTCTTGGATTTTTCTAGGGCTTTTTTTGGTACTCACTTTTAGTGAAAAAAAAAGTACATGTATAAAAAAAATTTCAAGAAATGTTGACTATTGCATTTTTCTTTTTTATTTATTTTTATTTTTTTTGAATAGTGATATCCTTTTTTATTTTTTGAATAGTGATATCCTTTTTTTAATAACTGGGTAGTTATGTGATGAATGTACTATAATTTATTTAATCTGATTCTTATTGAAGAAAATCTTTATTATTTGACATTATAAACAAGGATACAGTGAATGCTGTGTGTGTGTGTGTGTGTGTGTGTGTGTGTGTGTGTGTGTGTAGAATAAAGTTTTTAGGGTTTTTTTCTTTTAAGATTGACATTTTCTACCTTTTCCCTTTACATCTTAAGGTGCTTTATTGGTTTACATACTCTCACTTGTCTCCTAGATACCGCATCACGATTGGCAACAAAACCTGTGTGTTTGAGAAAGAAAATGACCCATCAGTGATGCGCTCACCTTCTGCTGGGAAGTTAATCCAGTACATTGTAGAGGATGGAGGTCATGTGTTTGCTGGCCAGTGCTATGCTGAGATTGAGGTCAGGGTGGTGAATGGACTGTTGGATCATTTGAGGGGAAGGTTGGAAAAGGATTGGCCAGGATGGACTAGGACTGAAAAGTAAAAGAAAGGAAATAGAAAAAAAATACAAAAAACCATCAGTTGGTGTAACTGGAGTTGTGAACTTTAAAAGTATAAAGACAAGAAGCTTGCAGTTTTTCTTTGACAGATGAGAAATCTCTAGCTCTAAAAATAGATACTAAGAGCCAGACTCGGTGGCTCAGCCTGTAATTCCACGCCTTTGGGAGGCTGAGGTGAGTGGATTGCCTGAGCCCGCGGGTTCGAGACCCACCTGAGCAGGCGAGACCTCATCTCTATAATAAATCAAAAAATTAGCCGGGCGTGGTAACGCGCACCTGTAATTCCGGCTACTCAGAAGGCTGAGGCAGAAGGATCGCCGGAGCCCAGCAGGTCGAGGCTGCGGTGGCCGGAAGTGGCCACTGCACTCCAGTCTGGGCAACAGAGTGAGACTCCAACTCAAAAAAAAAAAAAAAAAAATAGATACTAGGCAATAGCACTTATTGAACTTAGGTGTGTTGACAGCTGGCTATACAGAGAAAATATGATAGGTGGAGTTGGGACACAAAACACACAAGTAATGAAATATGATGAATTTTAAGAGAGCTAAGCACAGAGTATAGAGGGTCACCTAACCCAAATCAAGGTTGGGTACCTAGTAAGGGAAAATATCTGTATCGAGGGACATTTCAACTTAGTTTTGAAAGATAAATGGTAATGGAACAGGTGATGAAGGACAGGGAAAAGTGTTTAAAGTTGAAAGAATAGCATATACAAAGGCACAGAAGCAAGAGAACATGATATTTTTACGGAACTGCAAGTAAATACTGGTATTGCTTGAGAATAGGCTATGGTTTAATGGAGAGTGGCAAGCAAAGTGGCAAGCAAAGTGTGAGTTATCAAAGACCTTATAAACCAAATCATCTGCTACTTTCAATCCAGATACAAGCTTGCACCACTGCAACTTAAGATACTTCAGTGCTTGGTTTGCCAGTTTTTTCTTAAGTCTTTAGCTCCCAATCTTATCCTTGTATTTGTGCCAATAGAATTGTGGTTTGTAAGTGTTACTACAATACTCAGATTCTATAATTTCCCCATGATGTTTCAACCCCATTGACTTCCCTCCTGGTATCTGAGTATGGTGAAAGGATGTGTTAATTTGAGTAAGTTTTTTGGTTTTGTTTTTGAGTCAGAGTCTCACTCTGTTGCCCAAGCTGGAGTACCGTGGCACATTCATGGCCACTACAGTCTCAACCTGCTGGGCTCAAGCAGTCCTTCCACCTCAGTCTTCCAAGTAGCTGGAACTACAGGCATATACCACCACTGCTGGCTGATTTTTTTTTTTTTAATTGTAGAGTTGAGATCTCATCTAGTTGCCCAGGCTGTTCTCAAACCCCTGGGCTCAGGCAATCCTCTTGCCTCCACCCCCCAAAGTGCTGGGATTACAGGTGTGAGCCACCACATCCCGCATGAGTAAGTTTAGACTGTCCTGAAGGCAGTGGAGAATCATTGAAGAATTTTAAGTGGAAAAATGATGAGATTTGGGATGTAGAATGATGACTTTTAGTGATCTTGCTAGAGGTATAGCAGGTAGGGAAATCTCTTAGGAGATTTTTTTAAAAATTACTCTAGACCAGAAATGATGAGAATCTAAACCAAAGAGATGGCAATAGAGGAAGATTTTTGAGAGAAGTTTAGAAGATATACTTGGCTGAGGTTGATAGATTGGGTGTGAAGAATAATTGTTAGGTTTTGGTCTTGGGTGATAGACTGAGAGTAAGCACCTGGATCCACTGGTATGAGGAAGCTAAATTGTTCCTCACATCTAAGTACAAAACAAGTAAAACCGCAAATTGTGGCAGAGGGGATTTAAAAGTTAGAAACAGGAAATATCAGTAACTTATTAATTTCTAACGCTAGGTCCTAAGAGATTTTCTAATGGCTTACCCTGGTTGAGCCTGGGAGATTTTGATAAATTTTCCTTTTTTTCTGGGTTGAAATAGGTGTAGTTCAATGTAGGTGCTAAGGGAAAAGCTGACCTCTTTTAAACGTTCACCTTTGTAAAGAGAGGTCAGACTCTGATGTGTTACCCTTTTCACTATAGGTGATGAAGATGGTGATGACCTTAACAGCTGCAGAGTCTGGTTGTATCCATTATGTCAAGCGGCCTGGAGCTGCTCTTGACCCTGGCTGTGTGATAGCCAAAATGCAGTTGGACAACCCCAGCAAAGTTCAGCAGGTGAATAGGAATGTACTCTGTATATTGCACTTGAAGAGCTGAAGAACATGGGATTTGGAGGGGCAAGTGACTTCAGTGCTTGGTTTGCCAGTTTTTTCTTAAGTCTTTAGCTCCCAATCTTATCCTTGTATTTGTGCCAATAGAATTGTGGAGTTTGTAAGAGTTACTACACTACTCAGATTCTATAATTTCCCCATGATGTTTCAACCCCATTGACTTCCCTCCTGGTATCTGAGTATGGTGAAAGGATGTGTTAATTTGAACGATGACTCTTAAGTTGCAGTGGTGCAAGCTTGTATCTGGATTGAAAGTAGCGGATGATTTGATATCTTGTTGGGGTTGACAGGCTGAGCTTCACACGGGTAGTCTGCCACGGATCCAGAGCACAGCACTCAGAGGCGAGAAGCTCCATCGAGTGTTCCACTATGTCCTGGATAATCTGGTCAACGTAATGAATGGATATTGCCTTCCAGATCCTTTCTTTACCAGCAGGGTATGAATCACTTCTCTTGGGGAAAGAATGTACAAATGGGATACCTATTCTCTGAAATAGTTTAAAGATTCATAATGATCTTTTTGGAGAGAGGGAAAGGAAACTGTTTGGCCTGGAACTTTCCCACCTTTAGTTGTGGAGTTTGAGGTCTTTAAATTCTTGTTTCTTTGTCATGGACTTCATATTTAATAGGGATTATCCTTTTTAAACCAGAGAATAGATGTAATATTAGATGCTTACATTGCAATATCAAAGTACTGTGTGATAGTGAATTCAGATACACTTGATCCTTGAACAACATGGTTTGAACTGCGGGAGTCCACTCATAGAGGGATTTTTTTCCAACCAAACACAAGTTGAAAATACAGTATTTTTGACTGGTCGTGTTGGTTTATGCCTATAATCCCAGCACTTTGGGAGGCAGAGGCAAGTGGATTGCCAGGGGTTTGAGACCAGCCTGGGTAACATGGTGAGACCTTGTCTCTATACTAAATAATAAAAAAAAAATTAGCCAGGCGTGGTGGTACATGCCTGTGGTTCCAGCTACTTGGAAGACTGAGGTGGAAGGATCACCTCATCCCATCTATGAGTGGACCCCCCGCAGTTGAAACCCATGTGTGTGCCACTGCACTCTAGCCTGGGTGACAGTGAGACTCCCAACCTAAAAAAATAAAAAAGAAAGAAAATACAGACTTGTGGGATGCAGAACCTGTTGTTTTTTTTATATATGCGAGTTCTACAGGGTTTGAGCATATACGAATTTTGGTATACGAGGGGAGTCCTGGAACCAATTCCCATTGTATACCGAGGACTAAGTATATCTTTTTGTTTTGGGGAGTGTGTTAATTTTGAATTGTATTTTATCATTTCTTCTTAGGTAAAAGACTGGGTAGAGCGATTGATGAAAACCCTCAGAGATCCCTCTCTGCCTCTCCTAGAATTGCAAGATATTATGACCAGTGTCTCTGGCCGGATTCCCCCCAATGTGGAGAAGTCTATCAAGAAGGAAATGGCTCAGTATGCTAGCAACATCACATCAGTCCTCTGTCAGTTTCCCAGCCAACAGGTATTTTGGATAATGGTATCTTTATTTTCTATTGGCTACCAATGATGGAGTTCAAATTGTAGGATTCTTTCCTATTTAGATCCTCCTTACTGTCTGGATATTGTACTTTTACAATTTTAAGGGTTGTACTCGTTACAAAACTGCCTTAGGGTATAAGCCCAATGTAAAGTATCTGTGGTGAAGAGAAAAGCATGCTTTAGTCATGTACTCCATATATCTTTGTTCTTGGAACTGTTCTCTAATAAGAGATATTTTCATGTTTTAAAAGTAGAGGGCTGCTGGGCGTGGTGACTCGCACTTATAATCCCAGCAGTTTGGGAGGCGGAGGTGAGAGGATTGCTGGAGTCCAGGGGTTTGAGACCAACCTGGGCAACTTGGCAAGACCTTGTCTCTACAATAAATAAAAAAAGTAGCTAGGTACAGTGGTGCACACCTGTGGTTCCGGCTGCTTAGAAGGCTGAGGTGGAAAGATCGCCTGAGCCCAGCAGGCCAAGGCTGCGGTGCCCTGGGTGACAGTGAGATTCTGACTCAAAAAAAAAGAAAAAGTAGAGTGCTATTGGTAGTATTATTATCAGAAACTTCCTTGCTACTTCAGCAGCATCTTTACTCTTTTCCTGTAAAGCAGATTTACATGTGGGGAGTTTGGCTAGCTAAGCAGGGAGTAAAATTTGGATCTTGACCTTAAGCAGATTTTGCCTGTCAGAGTCTCTAGTGAGATGATATTTTTTGTGATATAATCATTAATTTATCTAGGAAAGGATAAAAAGAGATAATATTTGCTTATTTAGCATGAACCCCTGAATAAACTATGCCCAATAACTTCCAGCTACTGCCAACATGTGAAAGATAGAAATTGCCATGTTATAACTACGAGGATTCCTAGTAGTGATGTTATAGAGGCTAATACTTTGGGTTCCTTTGTTGGGCTGGGCTTCATTTTTCCCCTTTCTCCTGTCTTAGATTGCCAACATCCTCGATAGCCATGCAGCTACACTGAACCGGAAATCTGAACGGGAAGTCTTCTTTATGAACACTCAGAGCATTGTCCAACTGGTACAAAGGTAGTTACATGTAACTGCAGACTCCTATCCTTTCATTCAAGTAACCACAAAGAGATTTACCTCAGGTTTGACTTCAAGAAATTTGAAAGCACCTTGTATCTTTAAAAGTTCCTTGTGTCTTCTAAATGTCTTTAAATTGTGAGCTAACTCTTGTATTTCATATTTCTTATGACTTCTTAATATTCTACATCTTTCTGTCAATTATGATGATGATGATGATGATTTTTGAGTTGGAGTTTTGCTATGTTTTCCCAGGCTTGAGTGCAGTGACACACTCATGGCCACCCCAGCATCGACCTGCTGGGATCTGGCAATCCTTTCATCTCAGACTTCCAAGTAGCCAGAATTACAGGTGTGCACTACCACGCCTGGCTAATTTTTTATTTATTGTAGAGACGCGGTCTCACCAAGTTGCCCGGGCTGGTCTTGAACCCGTGGACTCAGGCAATCCACTTGCCTCGACCTCCCCAAGTGCTGGGATTATAGGCTGAGCCACCAAGCCTGGCCTCTGTCAATTTTTTTTTTTGGAGTCTCACTCTGTCGCCCAGACTGGAGTGCAG